TTTTTTTATATCTCGTGACTGATTTAAACACACCCCACAAGGATAATGACTTCATTAACCAAGCAAACACCTCTATTCCCAAATAGAATTGCATCCATCGGCATAGAGATTAGGATTTATAGCATGTTTTGGGGGGACACAATTCCATTTGTACAGGGATCAAAAGTGGTAACAGGAGTGAAGAAATGATGTCACTCATGCTTCCACATAAACGGAATAAATCACTATAAAAAATAAGTGGGGGTGGGGCCCCGTGGCTTGAGCTGGGCGGCAGGCCTCCGAGGCCCGCATCACACGTGTTCAGTCCCCAAGATGGGTGCTCGGCGCTGCACTGGCCGCTGTCCCCCGGCGCCCACAGGCGGAGGGATGGAGAGTTTCTGAGGCAGATGCATCCGGCGCTGCTGGAGGTGGGCGTGTCAGAGGGTCCCAGGGTCGGAAGGCTCTTCCCCGAACAAGCTGTTGAACGGTGAGGAAACCAAGAATTAAGCGGACCAGGCCCGATTCCATACTGTGACCTTGTAACTCTGTTCCTGTCCGTTGTATGTTGGCTGCCTGCCTGTCATGTGCATCTATGACCTGCGACCCAGTGACACACAGAACACAAGAGTGTCCTGAGCTCCATCTAATATATATTTTTTCATTAAAGGTTCAAAACCAAAAAATAAAATTAGTAGTGGCTTCTTTCAGATTGACGTGTATTTAAAAGACAGTAGATCAGCAGTTCTCAACCTGTGGGTTGCAACCCCTTTGGGGGTCACGCGATTCATAACTATAGTAAAATGACAGTTATGAAGTAGCAACGAAATCTTATGGTTGGGGGATCACCACCACACGAGGAACTGTATGAAAGGGTCGAGGCATTAGGAAGGTTGAGAACCACTGAAGATGAATAATGGAAATTTAAATAAACAAACAAAATGCAAGTTTAAACAGCAAGTAACTTTTTGCTGAGCATCTAATAATGGTTGTGGTCATATATTGACAGGAAGCTGCCTGAGGTTGTGGTCCGGATTCAGAAGAGGACGTGGAACACGTGATAAATCATCGCTGATGTCAGATGGATCTTGGCTGAAAGAATACTGCAAAGATGTTTACTTGTGTTGTATTGACTATGCAAAGGAATTGCCCTGTGTAGATGATAACAAACCATGGATAGTGTTGAGAAAAAGGAGAATTCCAGAACACCCAATTGTGTTTCTGCAGAACCTGTACATGGGTCAAGAGGCAGGTGTTTAAACATAACAAGGGAATACTGCATGGCTTAAAATCAGGAAGTGCGACAGGGTTGTATCCTCTCACCATACTTGTTCAATCTGTATGCTGAGCAAATAACCAGAGATGATGCATTATGAAGAGTGCAGTATCAGGATTAAGGAAGACATTACCAACCTGCAATATGCAGATGATGCAACCTTGCTTGCTGAACGTGCTAATTTAAAGAACTTGTTGATGAAGATCAAGGATTGCAACCTTCAGGATGCATTACAACTCAATGCAAAGAAGATCCAAATCCTCACAACTGGACCAATGGGTAACATTATGATACATGGAGGAAAGATCGATGTCAAGGATTTCATTTTGAATCCACAGTGCTCATGAAAGATCAGACAACCCATTGTATTGGGCACATCTGCTGCACAAGGACCTCTTTACAGTGTTGAAAAACAAGCAATGCAATGTCACTTGGAGGGCTACAGTAGGCCTGATGCAAGCCGTGGTTTTTCAATGGCCTCATCTGCATGTGGAAGTTGGACAGTGAATAGGGAAGCCCAAAGAAGAATCGCTGCATTTTTAAATGGTGGTGTTGGCAAAGAATATCGAAAGTAACACGGACTGCCAAAAGAACCAACTAATCTGTCTTGGGAGGACAGCCGGAATGCTTCTTGGAGGCAAGGCTGGTGAGACTTCTCCTATTTTGGACACGTGGTCAGGAGACATCAGTTCCTGGAGGACATCCTGCTTGGTAAAGTAGGGAGCAGTGGAAAAGGTGCAGCCCTCAATACAGAGGACACAGTGGGGCAACAGTGGGCTCAGACAGAACTGTGAGGCTGGCACAGGGCAGGTGGCATTTCATTCTGTGGTACCTGGGGTTGCTGTGGGTCAGAACCAACCCAACGGCACCCAACAACAGTGATGAAAAGACCAAGTTCTTCGTCTGACCCTTCCATCTCCACCAGAAATTAGAGACCATGTATTACACACATTCTTATATAAAAAAAGGGATATATATATATATATAATTTTGTTAAGTCATGCCTGGTCATAGTCTAATGGATTCAAGGCAGCATACAAGATTAAGTCACTAAATATTCTTACAAAATCAAAATCTTTGTTAAATACAAATAATCAAAATGTGAACCTAATTCTCGATATTTTCTTTACTTATATACTTCTGAGAGTGAGTGTTCTCATCTCTCTCACCCTCCCCCCCCCCCAAAGAATTCTGCAGACTTGGATTTATACCACGTCACAACAGCATCCACAAAAGACTCAACTTGCGTTTCGTTGAAATGTCCTTTGAGTTTTGGGAACAGAAAGTCTAGAGGAGCAAAACCGTGGCTGTAGGGTGGGTGGGGTGAGGATTGGCAATGACACTCTTTATGGGGCAGTCCTTGCCACGAACCTCAATGAATGGGCAGCTGCATTATTGTGATGGGAAAAAATTGTTTTGCATAACTTGCCTGGTCTTTTCTCACCAATAGTTTTAAATTTTCTTAAACTATCTTCATAAGCCCCACCACCATCCCATGTCCTTCAAAAAAATCTAACACAATTATCCCTTGAGAGTCCCCCAAACAGCTGTGCTAATCTTCTGAGCTGACCGCTCTGCTTGGCTTTAACTCATTCAGCAGATCCCACTGGAAGCCACTGTTTTGCTTGCAACTTCTTTTCTGAAGGGACCCCAAAACTAAGACAGGTGTATTAATGAGAGAAGTTTTCTGCAGCTGTCCATGGAACAGATTCTGTTCAGAATTAACCAGTGCATGTATGAACAGGAATTCTAACAGCAGTACTTTTCGACTTAATCTCGTTAAACATTAACTTGCATGATCTCTTAACGCATTTTCCCAGACTCACCGAATACTAGATGTGTGATATTTAAGTGTTTTATGTTAAAAAAGGCTTCGGTGGTCAACTTTGTAAACTATTGTGCAATCAGATCACAGTTAAATGGGACTCTTCCAAAGAACTTCTCAATCCCTTTAATGATCCAATATTAAATTCACTGGGAATCTCCAAGGTGACTTTATGGGTGTACTAGGCTCAATTTATTCTAGAATTTTATTAGAAAAATTGCTAGGCAAGGTGGAGTTGGTTTTGACCCATGGCAACCCTGTGTAAACAGAATATACAGCCTGGCACTGTGCCACTGTCACAGTTAGTTTGAGGCCACGTCCATCCAGCTCACTGAGGACTTTCCTGTTGTCCACTGACCTTCTACTTTTCTAAGCTTGATGTACTTCTCCAGGGACTGGTGCCTCCAGATAAGATGGCCAAAATATGTGAGATTAATTTTTTCCATCATCATTTTTAAAAATCATTTTATTAGGGGCTCATACAATTCTTACCACAATCCATACACACATCAATTGTGTAAGGTGCATTTGTACATTCATTGTCCTCATCATTCTCAAAACATTATCTCTCCACTTAAACCCCCGGCATTAGGTCCTCATTTTTCCCCTCCCTCCCTACTCCCCCCTCCCTCATGAGCCCTTGATAGTTTATAAATTGTTTTTTTTGTCATATCTTTCCCTGTCCGACATCTCCCTTCACCCACTTTTCTGTTGTCCGTCCACCAGGGAGGAGGTCACATATAGTTCCTTGTAATCGGTTCCCTCTTTCCTACCCACTCTCCCTCTACCCTCCCAGTATCGCCACTCACACCACTGGTCCTGTAGGGCTCATCCACCCTGGATTCTCTGTATTTTCAGTTCCCATCTGGTCTAGCCAGACTTGGTAGTGGGAGCGAGGAGCAAACATTTAGGAACTAGAGGAAAGTTGTATTTTTCATCGTTGTTACATCGCACCCTGACTGGCTCATCTCCTTCCCGAGACCCCTCTGTAAGGGGATCTCCAGTGGCCTACTCATGGGCTTTGGGTCTCCACTCCGTACTCCCATCATTCACTATGGTAAGATTTTTTTGTTCTGATGATGCCATCATCATTTCTAAGGCACATTCTGACTATACTTCTTCCATGACAGGTTTGCTCATGCTTCCGGCTGTCCATAGTATATTTAATTTTCTTCAACACCACCAAAATAAAAACTTTAGTAAAAGGTAATTTCCTCCAAGACTTCAGGAAAGACAATGTTTTGTCTTCCAACTTGGAAAGATTCCCGAGTTCAGTGGTAGACCTCTCGCCTTGCATACAGACCTGGGTTTGATTCCCAGCCAATGCCCCCAAACACAGCCACTACCGTTAGTGGAGGCGCATCTGTGATGCTGCTGAGCAGATTTCAGTGAGGGTTGGCAGCTTAGGAGGAAAGACCCAGCAGACCAACTTCCAAAAGTCAGCCAATGAGAACCCCACTAATCACAAAAGTCCTGCTCTGTTGCACACGGAGTCACCAGGAGTCAGAGGCCACGCTGCAGCAGCTAACAGTGCAGCAAATAATGCAGCGACCATATCTGAGTCCGCGTATGCGCTTCCCTAAGCCAGCAGGTTGGACAAGGCAACCAAAGTCCTTTCCAGATAAGCAAGCTTTTAATTTTCCATAGGCTACTTAACATCTCTGAGCTTTGATTCCTGCAGCATTAAAATGAAGGGTATCATCCACTTTTTGATTTGGAATAAAGCTGAATTAAAGTTAAATGGCTGCTATATCATCAATATTTAATGAGTATTACTTGTCTTATCCCAAAATTTAATATTTTACTATGTGAAGTACAACCCAAGCATTCTTTCCACAAGTGTCTTCAAATTTATACAATAGAACGGTATGATTCTACACATGGCAATCTAAATGAATTAGGATTTATTTTAAAGCTCCAAAAAACAGTTATTCAAATACTTTTATTAGATTTAAATTTCATTTAAGGGATATACAGATATACAACTAGTCTGATCAGCTACTAATATATTTTGGCATCCCTTTAGCGTTGTACCCAAGAGCCAGTTCACTTTTTCTCCGTGTGTAATAGTCAGCGTTGGTAAAATGTTGCCACATTCCGCTTCGTCTGTTCCGGAAGCACTAGCGCTGCGACCCTGCTTGGTGTAAGTTGCTCTTTTACTTTTCCTCTTGTGGACTTGTTTTGTAGGGCTCTTCTGTTTTTTCTGGACTTCACTGCTCACATCCCACAGCATTATCTTTCCATCATTTCCTCCAGTAAGCAGCAAATAAGACTCTGGCAAAAAGCTGACCTGGGACACCCCCAGGGTGTGAGCCTTAAACCCCAGTTCCCATTCACACTTGACTCCCACCACCCTAAAGATTCGAACCTTCCCATCTTCTGCACCACAACTGAAAATATTGCCACAAGATGCCACAGAGATAGAGTGTGCTAGTGCAGGGTTTAAGAGCTGACCAGGTGACTGTGGGCCCTCCATGTCTTCTGATTCATCCTCCTGTAAATTTGTAATCCAGAGTGGCCGGGCTTTCTGGAGGTTCCATAGCATCACCTTTAAATAAAGAAGGGCCAAGAGTCATATGGTTACAGAGTTTTCATCATTTGGCTCAACTACCATGTGTGGCAGCTTTTAATAAAACCATCCAAGTAGTCTGAGAATAATTAGTAGTACAAAAACAAAACCCAGTTACTACTATCCCAACATGTCCTGGTGCTAAAACTAGAATGTTAAAGGAAGTTGAGTAGAATTTACCAAAAAAATCTTGAGTAATTTTAAATTAAACCTCATTAACACAAAATTTTAAGCAGCTGCCAATTTAAGCCATTCTATTCTTCTCTCTTTAAGTAAAGCCCAAGATTATGCAATTTACTTAATCTATTGTAGTTACAAAAAAGAGGTTTATCAACTAAATAAAAATTAAATCTGGAATCTGCATCACACTACTTCAACCTGAAATGCTTTTTCTTTGCTTTCATGTACCCAAACCACCCATTCTAGGGATGTAGCTCAGGGCCCTTTCTTTCCAAAAAGGCTTCTCTCTCTACTGTGGCCTACTTCTGTCTTTGTGATAGCTGGTTCCCACAGTGCAGACTAGCCCACTCCAGCAGTGGATGTGCACTATTAGCTTCTCCAGGTCACTCATCTTTGCCACGGCCTAGTAAAATGCCGAGACACGTGCAGAAATCCAAACATGTCTGCTCACTAACAAGAGACCTTGAAGTCTGACCAGGCTTTTTCTTGCTCTCTTATCATTCTCTTGGACTTAAGTGGCTGAAATGGAAATTAAAATTAAAATCTGTTTAAAACAAATCCATAAAGAGTTGTGAATAGGTTGTACATTGTAACACCTAGTGATTTTATTCTCTTCCCACAGTGACCAGTTTGGAGAGGAAAACAGTCTAAACCCGAGAAGATTCAGTTTTATTTGATCATCTAGTATTACGCTGAATGGCGTCTCATATTTGAAATGGACAGTAGGGTACAAGCGATCTTATTTGGACGGTCAAAAGCACAGAAATGAAATGCTAAGATTAGCATCCCTGATGCTACTAAGTATTCTGTTTTCTAGTCACAGTGATTTTCTTACCATCAGTATGATTATTCCCATTAGCACCTGTTTTCAAAATAAAGAAATGAAAAGTATTCATGTAATCTAGATTTCTGGAGCTAAAGAGGTTGAACGAGCCCCAGAATTATTGCCCTGAGATAATTGTTAAACTGGAAAAATATCCCTTGAACTCTTCTTTAAGCCCAACAATAGTTCGTTTTAATTACCACAGTCTTCTCTGAGCACTGTGCTCTTCGAAAGAATTATCTATATGGGATTGAATGGGGAATGGTAACTCAGAAGGTTAGAGAAGGTTCTTAAGGCGTGATGAGTTCATTTTAGTCAGGGAGGATGGTTACACAACCTGACCAATTCGGCTGATGTCGGCGAAGTGTACATAACTGAGAATGTGGATTACATGCCTAAAGCAGTCCTGGGCAAGGTCATTAATACACAATAGTTACAAACCCAGAACCTTTCTTACCACACACTGATGACATGCTACCTGAATGTCTCTGGTGTCATAGAAGAAAACACACAGGCTTTGAAACCAGAGAGGCTGTGGCTAGAATCCCAATTTAGGGAGTGGCGTGGATATTTAATTTAAATCTCTGTTTCCTCATTCGTGAAAAGGGAAATTAGCCTAAAAACAAATACATGCACACTACTGGCATCTATTAGTAAGGGCTCAACAAACAGAAGTCATGACTACGCTCACCGCTGGGATTTATTCTCTCAAGAGGAAGCACATCTCGCACTGGGAAGACTATGCTTCTGGAAAGTTCTGTCTTTATCTTAAGCAAAATTCTGCTTCCCTGTGACATCTCCTCCTGTGTAGGCTGGCACATTCCAACTCCTTCCCTCATGAAAACCAAAACACCCCCAATTCCAGTTTCTAAGTATACATATTCTCCTGATGGCCTTTCTTCAGATGAGAGCGAACTTGCAGATGTTCCTGGATTCCCTTCCACCGGTGCACCCTAAAATGCTGAAGGCACACCACAGACCCAGCCCCTCCAACTGATGTGACAACACGGCTTGCAGAGGACGGTGACACTCTGCCTTCTGCGCTCCCTTTTGTGCATTTACATTGCTGTTCAGAACCAAGTACAATGAATGTTTTAGAAAGGTCTCAAAGAATAGAGAAAAGACAACTTTAGGAGTAATGATTATTTTGCAAATAAAATCTACTAGGTTTTGTCTGGCTAGCATTAAATGTGCATTAGAAGCAATGCTTATGGTTCATGGATCAGACATATTGGTAGAGGATAGACATTACAAAGATATATTTAGCCAGATCAGTAATTTGATTCTGTTAACAAGTCCCATTTAGCAATTAGCCAAGTACTCTCTGCAAATGCCTCACCTGCATATCCAGTCCACATGACACCAGGCTCTGAGGTCTTTGAGGCCGAAAAGCGACAGAGGAACAGATATTAGAATGTCTCCTCAAGGATCTACTAACTTTCTTATTTCCCAAGTCCAGGACTTTGATGGCCCCAGAGTCATCAGCAGAAGCCAGCAGGCTTTCCGTTTCATTCAGCGAAAGACAATTGATTTCTTCTTCATTTACGTGGAAACAGTCGAGGGAGCCTTTGAGGGATCTGACATCCAGTATGCTAATGGTTTCTCCATGTGAAGCATACAACTTGGTGGGACAGGTGTTGGAAAATACAACACTGGTAACATCATCAGCTCCTTGGAACTGTACGTGTCCTAATGGAGTCCCATCTTCACCCCAAGTCATGAGATCTCCACCTTCTGCACCAGAAGCCACAACCCCTTCTTTACTTGCATTCAGGCAGAGAATAGGAGAAGAATGTTCGCCTGTCCACTTGACTGCCATGACGGTCCAGAAGACTCTGGAAAGGAGGGGCAACATTATACTTTTGTGTTTTATATAAGAACTCAGTGGAAGGAATTTGTCAATGCGGTCATATTTAAATATTTTTAAAAGATATCTAGCAAGCTATGACAAAATAATAATTTGTAAATTATCAAGGGTTCATGAGGGAGGGGGGAGCGAGGAGGGAGGGGAAAAATGAGGAGCTAATGCCAGGGGCTTGGGTGGAGAACGGATGCTTTGAGAATGATGAGGACAATGAATGTACAAATGTGCTTTACACAATTGATGTATGTATGGATTGTGATGAGTTGTATGAGCTCCTAATAAAACGATTAAAAAATATATAAAAATACATTTAAAAAAAAGACATCTAAAGATCAAGTGTACAGAGGGTCTTCGAATAGAGCTGTGGCATGCTAGCTGGCACATGCATAAATGGACTTCCCTTGCCACTGGGGACACAAGCAAGCTGGGCCCTCCCGTCTTTAATGTGAAGCTCACAGGAATAAATGCTAACTATGAGCTATAGTCTACGGAAAAATTCCACTGTATTTTAATTCCAATTTCCATGAACTTTTTGAAGTCCACTCATGTATTTATATTAAGAAAAATATCTTTAAAAGACTGCGGTATTGCTATGTGATCAATTTTATCTGAATACCGTTTTATTTATTTATTTATTGAATATGTTTTTGAGTGAGCTCTGGGGTCACTCTGTTGGTCTGCCAGAGTCTCAAAATTGAATGTGGTGATGATTGTACAACTCTTCTTAATATGATTAAACTAAAAGTGGTGAAAATGTGAACCATATGCCAACGAAACTATTTTTAAAAAGTTACAAATAACTTTGTTTTAACCCCATTAGGGACCTTTAAGGTGCTGATCACATCTTTCCTAAATTGCAGTTTTAATTTTATCACCATGAATTAACTTTAAAGTCCAAAAATGTGCAGTGTGCACTCTATAGCATTAATATTTGCTGAGTTTTTTGTGCACACGGGTTTGGGATTCTTACTGGGATTCATATTTTCTCTAAAGCAAGGATGAGTAAGAGTTTCTGGTATTTCTATTTCTCCACCATATATTCACCTACAGAGATTTCAGTAGATATTAATTAACAAACAAAGTTTTAGTAGACTTCCTTCCTAATATAAATCTTTTTTGGAAAGTTCTAACTCAATTTATAGGTAAAGGGATTTAGTGCAAAAAGGGACTTTTATAAGCAGCAATACAATTCCAATACAATTTTCCATAATAGACCCAGTAGTAACTGTAGCTGTTAATCTCACAAAATTCAAGGGCAGTTCTAGCTTAAACTCTCTGTAACTACTACTATACGACTCTTACGACTCCCTGTCATCAAGTAAATGCACTCACAACAACCCTATGGGACAGAGCAGATCCTTGTTGAGTTTCTGACTGTAACTGTTTATGGGAGTTGACACCACAGTCTTTCTCCCCAATGCAATATAACAGAAATTTACAAACAAACTAAACTTGTAATCTCTACAACACACAGGTAGTATTGAGTATATGTTATGAGTATAGATCACACTCATAGCTGGTCATAAAACATGCTAACAAGGAATTGGGAAGCCCCAGAAATCCATACACTCTGTGAGGCTCTTAGCGCTTAACATTCAGGATATTGATCAATGGTTAAACCAGAGCCTTTAAAATTATTTACTTAATTGATAACATTTATTATTGTTTGAAATACACCCAAAGACCTTCATCAAGAGTTTTTTTTTATCAGATTGCTGTTAGTAGCAGGGGAAAATGCAATTCAATCTGAGTTCAATCAAATCAATCTTTCAGAACATCTGGCTCTATTACTTAATCTACAATAGAACAACTAGATGGTACACAGCTACCATTACCAACTGTTCTGAAAGTGATCCTGGCAGAAGTTCTCAGAGTGAGAAACAAAAGGAGGAACAAGCTCAAAATCATTGAAAAGACTAGCTTAATGGTAGGATAGAGACTAGGGGAACCGTCCAAACTATGGCTCTTGGGTCACTCTGCAGTTAAGGAACTGAACTCACCCCTGTGACTCAATAATCAGCCAAACAATAGACAGGTCTATACGCCTCAGAATAATCAATCATTTGAGATCAAGGGAGCCAGATGTTCTGCCCAAGAACGAAGTTCAGAAGGGTTAGGAGAGGAGAACTGGAGGCAGGAAACCTAGGGAAGAGATAGGATGAGTGGTGGTGCAGGGAGGGGATTGTAATGAATGAGATGCAGAGAAGCGTGGGGGGATTGCTGAATGTAAAACTGATGATCTGCTCTATGAACTTTCTCTCAATTCATAATTGGCTAGAAGAAACAATCTTTCATAAATATGTTATTGGGACTGGAAAATCTACCATCTGCATATTCAGTATCAGGTCAACAAAGTGCCTCTTCTCATATGTAGATACCTTAAAGGAAGGTCAAGCACAGAAATTAATCATACCCTATTGTGAGTTTTAATTAGATAATAGATTCCTTCCAACACCTAATGAGATCACGGCGGGGTGGAGGAGAGGTGGGGTAATTTGGGAGCATTTTTAGAAAGGGTTCTTTCCAGTTTGAGGGCAGAGTGAGGGTACTGAACACAGGGGAGAGGAAGGTGACGAGTAAATACAAGATCTGTAGACAGAAATAGGAGATAAGGATAAAGGCAATCTTTTCCTCCTCTGAAATTCTACCTGGGTCACTTGGGAGGTAGTCTGCTGCTGAATGTCACCTTCATGACAGAACGGGAGTAGCACAGGAATAACCTCACCTTCAGAGGCTCCACTTCACCTATCTTGTAAACAACACAGTACAGGCTGACAGCTTTAATAGTTGAATGGTCTCTACTCTAACCACTTTGCTTCAGTCACATCTCCACTTAGCCACTTGTCCTCCTAATGAGTCCACCAGCTGCTCCTATAAAGATTTACTGTCTCTGAAATCCTATAGCGTTGCTGTGGGTCACAATGAACTCAATGTCAGCGTTTTGTTTCAGGTGTGTATGTGTCTTTAAAGCTGTTCATTGTGCCTGATCCTGTGACCTCTTCTCAGATGGACCAACTGTACTTATCCTTAAGATTAAAAAATAAGGCAAAACACCCATCAGTTTCTCCAAGAGAGAAAGATGAGGCTTTCTATTCCCATAAAGATTTAGTCTCTGAAACCCACAGGGGCAGTTCTCCTCTGTCCTAAAGGGTCACTATGTTTCAGAATCGACTTGATGGCAGTGAATAGAAGGAGGAGGAGGAGTCAGCATTACTACAATTGGTATAGTTCAAGGTTTCCCCAGATTTGAAGTTTCCATATGGTTAGTTCTGTGAAGTTGGATTGTACACAAAATAATTGGAAGAGCTGTGGCACTAACATTATGGAAACACGTCTCACAGGGGCATTTGACCTATTCTTAACTTCATGAGGGGGAGAATCACAAGGATGGCTTCTGTGAGGTGAAGGTCATCACCACCATCAGTTTTAGAACATTTTCTTCAATCCTGTACTCATTGTTATTAGCTCCCCATTTCCCTTTAACGCCCCCTGCCATACTCCCAAGGAACCATTAACCCAGTTACTGTCTCTACCAACTTTTTCTTTTTTAAACAATTCTGACACCAATGATTCCTCCCACTGCACTCTACTTCTCTGCTGAGGCCATACAGAACTCATATGCTTATGATCATAGGGTTTATTAGAAGGAGTCTTAGTGGCACTCTTGGGTAAGAACTGGACAGCTAACCACAAAGTCAAGAGTTCAAAGCCACCAGACACTCCGTGGGACAAAGAAAAGACTACCCGCTCCTGTATAGATTTACAGCCCTGGAAACCCTATATAGGGACAATGTAAGTTGGAATTGACTTAATAGCATTGGGTTTATTAGGGAAGTAACATGTGACAATTCTGGACCAGAAAAGGCACAGCCTATTTTCAGTCATATCTCTTCCTGGCCTTCAGCCTCTTGGCCCCTCAGGTCTATTGGGCTGACCCAGGCTCTGCCCTGCAACTGTTACCAAGCTCTTTAGCTCCAAAGATAAATGCCCACAAGCACCCCCTCTCCATCAGCAAAGATTCCTGTCCAAAGGTGTTCAACATTCTTGCTTTGCAGGTCAGGAAGCCCACAGTACTATCAACCTTTTGGTCACTGCTTCTCGCCCTCTCTAGTGTTAAACAGCTCTCTGTACCCTGGGCCTAGAAGGTTCTTGGTGAAGGGACTCTGGGTCCAAAGGACACACGCTGCCCCCATCTCTTCTTGGTGGTAGTGGTTCCCCCCTTTTTGTTTCTAGGGTGTCTCATTTCAAGCCCAGTGGGATGGCAAAATGGTACAATTCTCCAAAAGGGTTCCATGTATCTTATTTGAATTAACACTAAGCTGTCCAATACCTCAGTGGGCCACAAGCCCCATATGTGCATGCGTCTCCCCAAAGTTCTAGTGGTAAGACCATGGCTAAAAAGACCTCATAAACGTGATCCACTGCAAACATATAAGTAAGAATGAAAAGAATCTTGGGTTACTGAGCTTGGAGAATAAAAGACATTAAACAAGAAGGACCTAGTAATATTCAAACATCATATATCAGAGAATAGGAAAGGTAGTTGCTGAACTTGGAGAATTGTACCCTTTTGGAGAATTGTACCATTAAAAGATAGATTATATACAACAGAATGTTAGGAGTTTTTAATACATAATAGTTGTAAGACACTGTAGTTAACTACTAAGGTTGTCTATCAACCCCAGTATTATCATTTCTTAACCTCCTAGCATTGTTTGAGGAATTAAAACCGGCTTAAAGGTGTGTCTGGCTCACACTGTGGTCATTATTCTCTTACTAAGCACCCTTTAGAAACTTCCAGCAAAACCTTTCTGGCCACCTAATAAGAGTCAGCATCTCACAACACACGGAATTCAGGTACAGGAATGGGAAAGAGATAGGGAGGGGGAAGAGATAGCAATGACTGACCCATAGCCACACCCCCCCCTCCAGGGGGAAGAATAACAGAAGCCAGGGGGGAAGGGTGGCAGCGGTCGGTGTGAAATATGAAAATAATAATAACAATCTATCAAGGGGTCACAAGGGAGGGGGTAGGAGCTGATACCAAGGGCTCAATAGAAAGTAAATGTATAGAAAAGAAAAATGCCTACATATGTACAAATATGCCGGATACAATTGATATATGGATTGTAATACGAGTTGTAAGAGCCCCAATAAAATGATCTTTTAATAAAAAAATTTTTTTAAGATTCAGCATAATCAAATAATGGGGCAAATCTTTCCTTGTTATAAAACCATTTATAATCATGGCCTCCACAGCTTTCTCCCTATCGGAATATTTTAATGAACAAATACACACTGCCTTAACACATCTACAATGCGGTGGTCTGGGAATGAGTACATTTCATCCCAAACAATGTTCTAACCAGCACTTCATAGACACTGCAGGTTCTCAAAAGGTTGGGGGTTGAGCGGTGTGCAAAAGTGGCCACCGTATTTTCCGAATAGAAGCTGGGGCACGTAAGTATCGATAGTCCGAGAAATACGAGGGCTTGCCCAGGAAAAGACGGCCGAAGGTAAAGACGCCCCAACTTCAGGACGAAGGTGGCAGCCAGGACTCGGGTGGCAAGGAGAAATTCCAAGTGTTACGTCGGCGTCTGGTACAGGACCCAGACACAGGGAAACCTCGCTGGGAAAAAGAGAAAAAAAGCCGAAGACCGTTGAGCGAGGCCACGGAGCCAAGAAGCGGAAAAGGGACTGGAGGGCAGCCAGGGACCCACCAGCGGCAGACTCATACCTGCTCGGCGCGCTCCCCTCCTCGGCGCCTCGTGATGACCTCACTCCGGGACGCCCAATCCCAACAAGCGTAGGGCACGAGGCGCCCGGCCCAACAGTCACATCCGGGGCCAACGGGAAGCGCGCGGGAGCTGGGCGTGCGCCCTTGCTTCGTGCCCTCAGTCGGCATGGCGGCGCTACGGGCGCGCCGCGGGGCGGCCACG